GGGATAAAGAGCACTCCTGTTCATTTTACACCAGCGAAGACATTTCAGTACTATGTATCATATGTATTGGCTATTTTTTCTAAGCTTGAAAGATAAGTATTATAAATTATCCTCTTATTAATATAATTGCATATTGCCTATGTTGTAAAATGATCCTCCCTATCATTTTCTACTGTGGATAAAACTATACATTACCACTGCAATTACTCTGTCTAGTGAGGTTACCACGCTTATCGAAGGAAACAACATGTCTCCCCAGACTCTTAAGATGTGCTCCACTCCAGATCTCTGTGACACCGCTTCACCTTAACTCCCAACCCAGCTCTGCTCTCTGCCGGCTCTGTCGGTCTGGGGCCAAACCTGCATGGTTATCTTCTCTGCAGGCCCTGTCCGTGTCCGCAAAGAGACGGATTCCTGCTGACACCATGGGGACCCCAGGGGGCTCTGCCTGAACTCCTGCAATTCTGCTTACGTCATCTGCACAAACAACAGTTACATTTCCTCAGCACTCCTGATTTCGGAATTGTTTGGAGGTGCTACTAAAGCCCATTCTTACAGACAACCCTAAACCTGGCCCACGCGTCCGACAGTGCGGGACTGTTTGCATTTCCAGCAAAAAAAACCCAGAGTATTTCAGACACTTTTAAAAGCATTTTTAGTGGATGACATAACTTTAATCATTACTGTACATCCTGAGCATGTGCCTGCGTTATTCCTCATTTGTAAGCTGCAGTTCGTCCTCACGCTGTCGCACAACGGCACAAACAGGGAGCGCTGCTGGCCCAGCGCAGGAGCTGAGCGGGACAGCACCGCACTGACCAACAGTGAGCCTGCTTGAAAGAAAACGGCCGAGGAAAACTGAAAACAAATAAAATCTCCCCGTTAGCAGACAGAATTGCCCATTCTGCACGCAGCAGAACTTGAGAGCTCGAGTCACTTCTTGCGCCTTGAATTCTGCCTACATTCCACAGCCTGCTCTCATGGCAGAAATGCTTTCCCTCTCTCTCCCTCCCTTCTCTGTCTCTCTCTCTCTCTCTGGAAGAAAAATAACCTCCACGAAAATTAGAGACATTTATTAATAGGAAGCCTTTGTCTTATTTTGAATATAAAACACAGCTGAATCAGGAAGCATCACTCTCAGTATTAAGCTCGTGTGAAAGAATTTACAAAATGTGGGGGAGTTAACATTTACACAGCAACAAGGTTTCCCAGCACTTTGTTTCCTTCCTGCTAGGTACACGCTGCTCCACGTTGCTCTGACACAGAAAGTACAGGCATAGGCAAGGAAGGACTCAAAGATGAAGAATGGTACAAATAAGCACCAGAAATATATCACAAGTACTTCTTTGATAGCATCCAATAATGATGCTAAAACAATGCCTGACGTGCCTTTAATAATCCAACAAAAATCTACATACTCCTCTTTCCCACTCTAAGCAAAACTGAAAATGCATTAATGAAAAATTATGAAAAACGAACTGTGAGGCTCGTTATGCTGTTCCCTCAATAAATGACCGCCTTTACAGCCTTTATTTTCAAAACTAGAATAAGAATATGGGTCTTTCTAGAAATTATATTTATTTTGAGTAGATATAAAAATGTAACCTGAGATGCTTATTGTTCGTGGCATAGATACATTTAAATATCAGCAGTAACTGGGGCAAATCGTTACGTAACAACGAGTAGTGAGGAGAAAACAAAGCAGAAGAAAAGCAGGATCAGAAAAAAACAGAAAAAGGGAACATACAAATGGAAAAGAAATGTAATATTAATATTAACGTTTTACAGCAGGAAGCATTGTTACGAGTGACACAACAATTAAACTCATTTAAGCAAATAACCTGAGTATAACTACGTAAAACAGCTATTTTTGAGAAGCGTTCATTCTAAAGGTTTCAATTTATCAGGGAAAAAAAAAAAAACTTCTGTAGAAAAAGTTGTGAATGTAAGGTTCCAAATGAGTATCGATCCTGCAGTCTGGCAAAGGTCTCATTAAATTCAAAGCGATTTTGTTTGACTCAGGTTTGCAAGAGTCCGCCCTCCCGGTGCCATTGTTCTGCTCCGTATTTTTCCCTAAAAGCCCCACAAGCAAAGGTATTGTGTCCCTCAAAACAGCACATCTTAGAAAGTAAATACTTCACATGAAGTTAACAGACCAGTATGTGCTTTTCAAGAAAAAAGTTGAATTGCACCGTTATAAAAACAGCACAGAACACATGCACAGCAAAACGCAGGTTCTACTGATAGACCGGCGGTACTTTTGTGATCAATTAGATTTATCAGGCACCTCTGACTGCTTCAAACTGTGCTTGGGCCACTAAGCCGTCTCCCCCAGGATTTACTCTAACATTCCAAGCACAGGGGTAGCACCAGACAGACAACAGACAACATTTTTATTATAAAAAAAAAAAAAAAAAAAAAAAAAGACAAATATTTGCAGCCTCCCCCCTAATGCCAAATGCCCTCATCCCAGGATGGGCAGGAATCGTTGCTGACCCAGTGAAAGGTTTAAGGTCTGATATCTGACCCATCAGAAGCTTGCTTTCATTAGAAAGACGAGACAGCAGCTCTCCAAAGATACACACAGAGCACTTGATTATAGTCCTGGGAGTTCTGGAGAAATCTGACCTTTAAATTACATTACTACATACAGAAAATCTATTTAAAGTACATTTCAGCAACTAAGATATTTCAGTAATCTTTATTCTCCCTCTTCTATTTTTTTCCAGAGATCTCTAAGCAGGACTCCAGTAACAGAAAGCACCTGATGTTACTGATAGTGCCCTTCTGCACCGACGCCGTCCCAGCTCTGCACCCCAGCACGCCGCTCAGCACCGGGCAGCTCTGGGCCGGCTGTGAGCAGGAGATGGCTGAGCAGCCGCCGCTGCTGCACTGCTCCTCCGCACTGACAAAACCCATCGCCTGCATCGTGCCGCCGCGGAAGCAGCCCGCGTGTCTTTATGGCTCTTTTGTACTTCAGCTATCGCAAAAGACAGTTTCTCCATGCTAAAACACTGCGGAGAGGAAAAGCACGCAAGCGATGTCAACGTTTGCTCTTTTGGGCTAATAAAATTTCAGAGAAAACAAATTTGGATGTACCGTGCCTCCCCTCCCCTTTCCGTGAGCTCCTTCTGCTGTCAGTCCTTGGGGGCACACACAGCAGGCCACCATGTAATGTCACACTAGGTGCTGGGATGCAACAAAGGCCAACATGTTGATATCTTTTTATTGCTCGTCAGCCTGCTTACCCCGCTCCCCCTGAACAATCGGACCCCTTTGATAACACAGAAATTTCTGAAGAAGTTACATTTCTATTTGCAGTCAAAGAAGTTTCTCTCCCCCCAAAGCAATACTCCTATCACCTTGGTTTCCGACTTACAAACTGTTATCCTTACTTTTATAGAAACTAAAAGATAGGGCTGAAGTGATACATTCGTTTATAAGCATAAATATTTACATTGCCAAATAAAGCCCTTTGTTTGTTTGTATGTTTTTCAGGTAGACTAACAGCCACTTTAAATTCATTCTCCATTAAGAAAAGTTCCTAAGGTAATATTGCCTACACGGGCAGAAGTTTCACTGACCTCCCAGTAGAGCCACTACGGTGTGTTTTATTTTGTGTAGAAGTCAAATGCAAAGGATGTGGAGGTGCTTCCCTAATAGCAGCCCGAGAAAACACAAATATTGCTAAAGCTTCAGCCCCACAATGGCAGGACTGCGGCAGAGCAGAGGAGAACTCTGGTTTACTTTCATGTGAAGGACCCAGGCCCGTGGAAGATTCTTTAATATCATGCTGGTAAGGGCTGCAGTATGAAATAACACGTTTTGTTGTAATTCCTAAACAGGGGACATTTATCTGGGCCATTTATACAAGAGTTATAACCCTAACAATATTTATACTCAGCATGTCATGTTAGCATTTACTACCAGTTTCCATGGAGATGGATTTTCATGCTGTAGCTATGAAATGCACATTGTTGCCACTAAGCCACTTCAGGCCTTTCTGGAAGCCTGCTGAATGCCTGACAAAAGTTGATGCAAACCAATAGTTGTTGTTCTTTGTTTGTTGCCAGACTTCTAGCAGAGCCATATTATGTCCTAGTGATTGAAGTGCCCATGTTCGCCCCCCTCCCGGCACAAAAAGGATCCTCAATTTCGGTGACAAGCATGAAGTGGGCTTCTGCAGGGGAGGACAAACACCACGCAGGGCCGGAGCTCTGTCTCCGCACAAGGACACGGCGCGGCGGGGGGCCGCTTTCCCGACAAAGCCTGACATTTTGGGGACAAAGTGTAAATAAAATAAAGCGCGGGGAGCGCCCGGGCCCGCGAGGAAGGAGGCAGCGCCGGGCTCCTCCTGCCCCGCCCGGCCGCGGTGCCACGGTCGGCGCCAGCCCCTGCGGGCACGGCCACTCTCACCCCCGCACAACCCGCACGGCCCCGCGCCCGCTCCCCGTCCGCCGGGCAGATGCGCCCCGACGGCCCCGCAAGGTCACCTCGGAGCTCGCCGCCCGCACGCGGCTCTCCGGGCTCCTCCCGGCCGGGTCGGCGCCCGGGCGCGGCGGGAGGGACGCGGCTCCCAGGGCCATCCTAAGCAGCGCCGGCGCCGCGGGCGGTTACGGGACGGGTCTCGGCCTCGGACGGACGGAGCCCACCGGCCCGGCTCCCCGCGACGGTGCCCCCGAAAGCCGCGTGGGACAGCCGAGCGGGCCGCAACGAGCTGCCCCCTCCGACGGCACCGCGGAGCGCAGCGGGTCCAAACGCGAGGACGTTTGGACTCCGCGTTATTTCAGCGCAACGCTCATTTCCAGGCGGCCGCTCCACCCCGGCGCTGGGGTCCCCGCCGCTCTCGGCAGCCCCGGGCGCTGCCCCGTTTCAGCGGCGCTTTGGGCGTCCGCTCGGAGCTTCGCGGCGCTCCTCCGGGCCGGGCCGAGCCGCGCCGCCGAGCCGCGCCGCGCCGAGCCGAGCCGGTCCGGGCCGCGCCGGGCGCACGGTGCTCTTACTGTTGGTAGTCCTGTTTGCAGTAGAGCTTTCGGTCCCGGAAGTAGCAGCTGGTGGTGAGGGCTTGCTGACACACCGCGCACTGCAAACACTCCTCGTGCCAGGAGGACTCGTTCACCCTCATCAGAAAGCGATCCGAGATGGGCCTCTGGCAGCCTTCGCACACGGCCTGGTGCGGGCACTCCGACCCTGCGAACGGCAAAGCGCGGCGTGAGGCGGCGGGACGGCCCCGGCCCCGAGCTCGGCAGCACCGCGCGGAGCGGCCGCTCCCGGCGCGCGCCCCGAAGTGTCACTCAGTCCCGCGCCTGCAACCCGCGGTCAGCCCCGCACGGCGCAGCCCGGGACGGCGCGGAGCCGCGGAGCGTCTCCTCTGGGGCACGGCCGAGGAGCGAGCGGGACTCACCCAGTAACACTCCGAGCGTGGCCGGACCCGAGCGCAGCGGGTGATCTTCCATCTTGATGCCGTCCAGCATCTTGGCGCAGTCCGTCGGGCCGCGCGGGAAGCACCTCTCCAAGGACTCGGGGCCCGAGGCGATGTCCATATGGGGCGGCGGCGCGGGGGAGCCGGGGACTGCGGGGCCGCGCACCCCGCGTCGGGCCGAGCGCGGGGCGCTGCGTTGCCAGGAGGAGGGAGCGCTTTTACTTTTATCTGGGAGACATGAGGCGCGCTTCCTGCCGGCGCTTCCAGAGACGGGGGGCAGAGGAGCGAGCCGGCGCCGTGCCCATGGGGCGGCCGCGCTACACGGGCGCGCACATTGCCGCGCACACGGCGCGGGGCGGCCGCGGTGTCACCTGCTCCCGGCAGCGCCGAGCCCCACGCCCGCAGGAGGGCCCTCCCGGGGCCGGGCCGGGCGGAGCGGTGGGGCCGGGCGGCGGCGGGGCTTCCCGGCGCTCCGCAGCCCCTGTGCCATGCGGCGTCCCGAGGAGCCGCGCCGTTTAGAGCAGGGGCCGCGGCGGAGGAACACACCCCCCGGCGCCTCACCCCTCCTCAAACTTGCTGACATTTGAACTCCATTGGTGCGCGCAGTATCGCTGCGCCGTGGTGATCCGTCTCCTCGACGTCAAATAGTGCCCTGGCCCCGGCGGGCCCCCGCAGCCCCCGAAGCGCGGCGGCGCCTGGGGCGCGGGGCGGGCGGGCTTCGCGCACCCCGGGGCGGACCGGTCTGGCTCGCCTCTGCTCGGCTGAGGGGCGCAGATCGGGTGCGGAGCCGGAACGCGCCCCGGGCTGGGGACCGGGGACCGGGGACCGGGAGGAGAGAGCGCGGCCGCCGAGCAGCGCGGCGGAGCGGCGCCCGCAGCCCCGAGCCTCAGCTCCGCCGTGTCGCGACCGGCCGGGCGGCAGCCGAGAGCCGGCGGCGCGGCCCGACGGCGGCTCCTGGCTCCTGCGCAGCGGTACGTAGCTGCGCCGCTTCCCCCGCTTCTGGCGTCCCCCGGCCGGGCGCGGGGCAGGTGGCGGCGGGGCCCGACCACGACGGGTAGCCCTCGAACGGGAGCCTCCGGGGCCGCGCCCGATTCCCGCGCTGGCACCTGAAGGGGCCGGAGTCGCCTCGCCGCTGCCGCCCGGGCCCGCGCCGGTCCGGAGCTGAGAGCCGCTCCCGGCTCGGAGCTCCGCGCTGCCCGAGGGAGCGCCCGGCGGCCCCGCGTGTCCCCGGCGGCACCGCCCGGGGCTGAGGGTGGCGGAGCGGCCCGCGCTGTGCCCCGGAGGGCTCCTTGCGCCCTTCGTACATAATGCTTCGTGCCGAAGGCTTCGGATGTGCTGTGCTTTTTCGTACTCTTAAATGCAAAAGTACTGAAACGCGTAGATGCTCCGTGTTCATATACACAATGCGTATATTTGCACACAATATGCATGTGAAAAAAAAAAACCAACATATTTTAATATAATGCGCTCTTCTGTTTTCTTGTTCGGAACCGATCCACGAATAGCGAGACGCACCGATCTCCGCACGCGGGACAAAGATCTCCCGAGCTCCCGGGCTCGCGCTTTCCTTTCGTTTTTGTTTCTCTGCTGATACTGTTAAAATTTAAATCTGAGGAAATAAAAATCTGGAAAGGATTCTGCGCGGGATTCTTAATGTGACCCGTGCTATGCTGTGACCCCGCTGAAGGAAGAGAGTTTATTTTGTAATGCTCCTCAAATGTTGATATTTAATAAGCAGGACAAGTGTTAACCTGAATTACTTAATGCGTCTTTTTCTGGGTCTTAAGATAAAGCCTTTTCCTGCTCGTGCAGAAACAGCTCTGAGTGAAATTCGTGATTTAGTCAAATATTTTGGAAAGGATTTTAAGTCGTAGAGACTATTTTATTTTTATTCGGGACATTATAAATCTGAAAACCTTTGTAGCTAATGCTGAAAAAATAATATACGATTATTCAATTCTGAGATCAAGATAAAAAGCTGCTTAAATTTCAGACTTCAATCGGAGGAGAGAAAAGCATCTCATGTACACTAATTTTCTTTGTTACCTCCTTATTTTCGTGTAAAGATTCGGTTTCTCCACCACATCGGGCTTTCCCCAGTCTATCTCTTACGACTACGAGGACAATCAGAGCCCTACTTTTCTCTCCGCAATAGTTTTCGTAAATTCTCATTAAAAAAAAAAAAAAAAA